AGTGGATTTTTCAGAATCTTCAATACTGTAAGTAAAATACATGGAATTGATTGTGAAATTATGACATCACACCTGCAGATATAGCTTTCTGAATGTAAATATGACATCAATTCTGTCAGCAGAAAACTAGCTTCTTTACATGCAGAACATATAAAGCCATGGCCCATGGCGAGATTTGTTTTTGTAACTAAAAAAAGAAGCGAAATACACTAAACGAGCTTACAAACTAAGACAGAGAAAAGAGAGAGAAAAACACAACCTCGGCATTGATAACTTTCAATATCACGCGAAAATGATTAATTATTGTCGTAATAGATTTTTTGAAGTTTAGTAAATTTCGTGTCCGCATGTCCGCGTTTTCCACTTGACTTGCGTGTCCGCATGTCCGCGTCCGCATGTCCGCGTTTTCCACTTGACTTGCGTGTCCGCATGTCCGCGTGTCCGCATGTCCGCATGTCCGCGTGTCCGCATGTCCGCGTTTTCCACCTAACCATAGATTTTTTGAAGTTAGTAAATTTCGTGTCCGCATGTCCGCGTTTTCCACCTGACTTGCGTGTCCGCATGTCCGCGTCCGCAAGTCCGCGTTTTCCACTTGACTTGCGTGTCCGCGTGTCCGCATGTCCGCATGTCCGCGTTTTCCACCTAACGTCCTAAATATTAAGTTTATATATGTACCGCACGCACGGAAATGCACAGTGGTCTTGGTGTTCGTCTGATGACAGATAGCTATACTTGGAGTCTTCGACATAATCATTCTTGATCGTCGAGTTTCAGCAATGTAAATGAAAGGAATTTTACAGTCCATAACGGTTTTAATCCTGTGCTTTCACAGTCAAGATAGCACTATTGTTTACACACACAGTTAGCGATGTTTGGGAAATCTTCATTATAAAATAAATCCTTTGGCTTTGTTGAATATCGGACAGGATACACTTCAACAATAAACAACCATATCGTTCATTTAGTATCGTTTGATCGTCAGTCGGTATAGAATTGGGAAGACTTATATGTTTCTACGGCGATGCGTGCTCAACTTCGTAAGCCAGGCGCGTGTGGAGTCCTTGGAAGTGAAATATGATCCAGCTTGTCGCTTGAAATGTACCGCAACACTTATTATTGATGACATTCAGTATAACAGGAAGTTGTGTCATGATGAATACGAATTTAAAACTGTTCCTTTCACGATTTCTTGTTGCAAATTACATTTTTATCACCCGAAACTATAACACATAAAATTGCAATTTTCCAAACGTAGCAAACAGACTCCTCTATCACCCCTCCCTGAGATCAATTCAATTTACCACACAGAATCTGCGGGGTCACGTGACCAGCCCCGACCAGGGTCTTTGCTTCACAAGAGCAAAGAGCCTGGGAACGAGGTTGTAATGAAATTAGCTCATTCTGGTAACTAGCTCAATTTTGTTGCTTGCAGTGTATCGGATCTATGGGTCTTTCAGATCCCAGAATTACCTAATTATTGTAAAGTCTGCATAAAGCAGAAAAGGCTCTGTTTTTGTCAATGACCGGTGCCTATTGCGTGACCAAATATTGTCAGCCTAATCCACTTATTTGATTGCTAATTCATGTTGCATTACTTTCATTGCAAATCACCTGGATTACATGATTTGCCCGTAAAATAGCAGCAATTGATAAACTTGAGTACATGGACTGAATGTATCAAGCAGAATGCATGTTGGCGATTTTAAGCGATCTTAGGCGATTTTAGGCGATTTAGGAGAAATTCGACAATTTTAACCCGCGATTTAGTGCGATTTTAGGCGATTTACCGCCCCAGAGTAGGCCTTCGCCTATTTAATGTTCTCGTAGATCCATGTAGGAGTGAGGCAATATCTGTCCACCGAAAACCCAGTCCTTCACGTAACACTACAATTTGCTCCTCGGTGATATTGAATCGTGGTCTTCCAGATTGCCCAGAACTTACAAGCTCGGAACGAAATGGTTCTCCGGCTCCATGCCCGTAATCGCCATTGTTGTTGGCAGGAACAGGTCCATTTTCGCGATACAAAGAGTTTAGGCTGTCTACCGTATTATGAACAATTTGCATGAACTGCTGAAAACATTGTGGTAATGGTGACGTGTGCTCATGATGCTCACAAACTCGTCCATACATCACACGTATTGTCTCCTCGTATTCCGAAATATTTCGTAGAAGATACTCGACACGATCGAAGTCAGTGTTGCTCGAGCGTAGGGCAATATCGCAATCGTACATCACACGAAGGAAATTTTGAAAAAAGTCGTTTAATTAGGTTTGGAATATAAAATCTATTTCTTAAAACTCCAGTCTGCGCCATTTTGGAAATTACAAGTAAAATTTTCGCGCCAATTTTTCCATCGAGCGAGACTAGGCGCTAGTTGATCGGGAAGTCAATTCTCACCACTTGATGCACGGTTTTCGTTAGTTTCCATCTACCAAACTGACATTTCGTAATTTGGTCAATTTCTAAAGTTGTTTCTTTCTGGATTTTCCCATTAATTTGGTTAGGGTTAAAGTTAGGGTTGCGGTTAGGGTTAGGGGTTAGAGTAGGGGTAGGGTTTGGGTTAGCTACATAGCCATTTAACACTCCTTCCATCTTCTGAAAATGACGTCACGTCAATTTCACAGATGGAAACTAGTGCTAACCTTGATGCAGGGGCGGTTTAGCACAAATTCAATTCGACAACAATAGTATTCTATCTAAATAGCAGTTAAAATAAAGTGTACGGCACCTGAATTGTTCAATATCTTGCTTCTGTATCCATAAAACATTTATATATATGCAAATACTGTATATTTTCAAATCCTACCCTCTTATTATTAGTGAAAATCACCGACGTTAATATTTCGTGTGAACCGCGAAAGCTTGGGTTCTAATGTAAATAAATATGGCGGATTTTAAAAATATACAGTATTTGCATTTATGTAAATATTTTATGGATACAGAAGCAAGATATTGAACAGTTCAATAACTGTATAAAAATGCAAACATAAAAATATACATTTTATGCACCAGTCAATGTAAACCCCCCCCCCCAACCGGGGAGGGGCGGGGATTTTGACTTAGAGGGGTAGTAAAAGAGCGAAATTGTCCCCGCCCATGTCTCTCAACCCCGGGAAAATAGTTTTGAATATATTTCATATATCAGCAATAGAAAATCAAATTCATTTATGTTATTGTATTTAAACTTTTCTTGTAAAGAAAACTAAAACAGCAACACAGGGTATATATTTAAAACAATGACTTGATATAAAAAATGGTGCGATTTGACAAGATATTTAAACTGGATATAAAATTTGGTACAACTTGACATAATATTTTGACTTGACATAAGAATTGTTTTCTTTAACATAATATTTTAACTTGATATAAAAAGTTGTCCAACTTGACAGCTTGTCACCTTCGGAAAAGCATATTAATATATTATGCATTGGTCTATCCATATTTAGCTTATGGGAATTTGATCTGGGGTAACACCTACAAATCTCGTATTCAAAAGTTAGTTAATATTCAAAAAAGATTGTCAGATTAATGACTTTTAAATCTTATTTTGAACATTCTGAGCCAATCTTTCATCACCTAAAAATTCTCAGTTTATACAAAATAAATTATTATTTAACAAGTATGTTTATGTTCCGATATTTCCATCTGAAAAATTTACCAGAATCATTCACAAACTATTTTTTAACCAATAAGAAAATTCATAATCATAACACTATAGAAGAGCAATAGAACCAATTACACAAAACACACACTCTCTCTCTCTCTAATAAAGGTATAGAAGTGTGGAATAATCTTCGTTATCTTCTCACTCAATATAAAGAACCTGCTAAGTCTTACGACTCCTTCAAGGCAATAATGAAAAAGTACTTCTCAGATCTAAATTTAATAGAATAACATATTCCTGTAAATATAGGAAAACTCTAAATCAAAAATTGAATTGTAAATATAACTTACTATCATATCATATCATATTTAACCATTCTTTTTCCTTTCTCCTAAAAGCACTCGAACTGATGCTGCATATTATTTTGTTAATAAGTTTAAATTTATAACTTAGGGGCCTAAAACAAAAGCCATATGGTTTCTAGTAGGCTCCTAGCCCATCTCTTGTAAATAGTTTATTTCTTTTATGTGCAATTTCAATATCTTGGGCGAATCAGCAAATAAAATAAATAAAATAAAATTGTAGCAAATAATAAATGTATAAATATATAACCGATTATTGCAAAAATATCACTTTCATACAGTATCTTTGTATAATTTTACAAAAAGCATAACTTTAGATCATTTTGAAGCAAATGTAAAGTTTTAGACATTTATGCAGATTAATGCAACGACTACAAATGATAAGAAGGTTTGTTATCGAAATCGTCAATTCAAGGCTTTCTGATGATATGTTAATATATAACGTCAAAACGACCATGGGACAATAAAATTAACACTGGCTAACAGGGATCGCATGGTCACTTACATGTTATGGAAAAATATAAATGGAATATATGACGAGCAGCTAGTCACGAAAGGCGCTCTCGATCATCGCTTCGTGCTTCTCAGCCATAGCTACTTCTCACTCGTTGTGACGACGCTTTTTCCCTCACAGCTTGTTTCGCTTCATGTCCCTTTTTATGTCAGCTCGAACCCACACCCAGAAACGATTCGAAGTTTTCCCCAAATCCAATGCGGATCATCTTCTTGTTCCTAGTGCTTGGACCTTTCCGCTTGATATCGTCGCTTCTTTTAATAGTGCATGTAGATCAATTTCCCCGTTTTCATAAAGGTGACTTGTCGCAATTATGGATGGGGGAGGTACCATTAGCCGACTAAGAATTTCAGCAATTATTATGCTGGTGATGGTATACTTCATTAATACGTGCATTTTAACAGGTACTTATTCCATCCCTATCACATTCGGGAACCGATTCCATCCTTACCACGGCGGGCAAATTTACTTTGGAGTAATATCTGTTAGTCACCGTTGGTGTCTTAACACACATACATTTATTCATTTATACGATACATGATGACGGTATTCGCCATCAATTTTTCAATGTCGCTACCCAGAGAAGCAGTTTGGAATGTGTCCGTAAGCTCTTCTAATGCCTACACAATGAAAGAGTTTGAAAAATGTACATGTGTCTGACTCTTCCAATGCCTCGTTACACACATGAAAGAGTTTCGGAATACTTGTCCGTAGGCGTAGGCTCTTCTATATTTTACATGCCTCGTTATAGGCCTATACACAGTGAAATGATTTGAAAACTGAAAAGAATCAGTAACAAAGTTAGCCATGGTAACTACAGGGTGTATCATAAAAAACGGAGTCCTCGCTTCAAATATAAATTTCGAAACGAATATTAGAGTAAAACGTTCAGGTTTACATTTGTTTTAAAGCATAGACATTCAGCTTTACAACGATGGGTTGTTTCGTAAATTTAATCCAGTAGTTCGTGAATAATAGTATTTTAAGTGATTGCGATTGGAGAGTCAAAAATTTGAGATGCAATAACAAATCGGTACTTGATGAAAATAACTTATTTTGTCAACAAAACGTGCAAATTGAGGCATTTTGGCAATAGCTTGTAAAAACTAAGTAATAAAGGCTTCCAATACACTATTTTAAATTCACTTGCTGACTTCAAATGCGTTTATATTCCCAGCTGAATTAGCTTGCCGTCAACTTACTAATTTATGTTTACATTGCGCCCGATTCGATGGCGTTAGTTCGGATGATGCATGGGCATAAGATTGTTTTGATGATTTCTGGAAATAATTTAGGGTTTTGAAATAACTAAAACAACCTAATCTCTTTTAGAATGTTTTTAACAAGTTTTTACTAGTTTTTCTGATGTGGCAACAAGAACATTAAAGTTTGAACAAGAAAATTCAAACATTGTAACCGACTATGGAATATCATAGTAAATTTGTATAATTAAGCGGCATCTAAAAATTATAGGTTTTACTACATTTTCTCATGTGCAGTTATTACTTGCACTAAAGACACGGATGACTATTTGTTCGAAAGATAAATGAGCAGGCCTTAAAATAAGCCTAAAACCGTTTTATTAAATATAGCAGGCCGATAGTTATTAAGTACAAAAGATGGACTCCGTTTTTTATGATACACCCTGTATACAAATACACGTCGCTTAGATAGTCTAAGGACAATACATATATTTACAGGTTTGAACTATTGAAAAGTAAAATATGCAATTGCACAGCATTTGCAATTGTCTAACTTCGCCGCCTGAAAAACTTTATGTTCTACATATACTTCATTATATACAACCAAACAGTTTGAAAAGAATGTGTCCATATGCTCTTCTGTATTTTATATGCCTCATCCCATAGATAAAAGGATTAACAATCGAGTTTATTCCATAAAGTTCATAATTGACAACTACGTACCACACCTGCTGGCACGTCTCACTGCAAATATAGAGTAATGTTCTCCCAACCACGGTTGGTATGAAACAACAAATAACCAACACTACTATTACAATAAAGAATGTTTTAACTCCTTTCCAAGCGAGAAGAATACGACGTACACCGGATGCACTTGTGTTGGGTAACTCCCGATCATCAGTGTGATCTCTGTCAACTGTTGTAGTTTCAGCAAGGATGCGTCTTCGTTGTCTCCGTGCAACCGTTAACATCTTGAAATTGAGAATAAATAATAAGATGAGTGGAATGTAGCCGATAAAAATTGTTGTAGACCAACCGATATCGTATGAAACGTAACATAAGCTTCTGTATCTTGGGTAGGTTCGATAATTCAATCCAAGCAATGCGACTATACCGCAACCAGTTACCCAGATTCCTAAAATAGCTGGAAGAACTCGTTGGCGTGTCACAAGGATCGGATACTTTAAAGGTTTTACAATAAATATATAACGATCGAGGGTGATGGCGAAGAGAGTTGCTATAGAAACAAACAACAACATCCAACTGCTGGACCGACTTAATTTGCAAAACAAATTCTGATCACTTTCAACTTCGAATATAGTTTTTATGAACTCAACAATCCATACTGGGTAGAATGTCAAACAAGTAAGAAGATCTGCCAGTGCTAAGTTTCCTATCAAGTACGAAGTCGCTGTCCGTTCTTTTTCCATGAAAATGTTGCAAATTACGACTGCAATGTTTCCCGTTACACCGATGCCCATTGCGATGAATTTAAATATAACCGAAGCCATAAGAACATCACTTGAAACCGTGAATAAATGCGTAGAGTTGTTTGCCATGACGCTCATCTTTTTTTATTAGAAAAACTTATCAACTAAAACTCAGTAATGTCACCAGCGTTAATCCCCTTTAATACGCCAAATTGTCAAGTGGGGGTTCATTGGGTTCACAGCGTTGATACAATTGGAAACCTAGTTCATTTAAAATTTTGTTTGTCATCAAATCGCCGTCTGATTGAAAACTGACAATTAAAAATATTTAAATGTTTTCTCTGATAACTGACAACTGACAAACGATAAAACACCAATTTTGGAATATGCAAAACTTACAAACGATATCTTTGTGATAACTGAATCGGTTGATAACGGACTTTAATTTCCACTGACAGCTGATATGCATGCAAAAACCGCCTGTTTTACGTTAATAGTTCATGAATCACATTGGAAAAAATGTGTTTTATGATTGTAAATTTGAATTATGCAGGGTGCGATAATTCAATATTTTTAGCCGTACCTGACTGGTACTCCGATAACTTTTTCCACGTACCTGATCTGGTACATACTTGAGAGTCAAGACGTACCTAAGACTACTTCCGAGTCGTGCGTTTTTATACCTACGTAGAGTTTACTTGTCCAAAAGCAAAAAATGTATGAGCAATTGTGTTCAAATGAATCTTTAATTATGGTATTTGTACAACATAATATAACAGTTTTCAAAGCGTCGACGTTGTGACTCGAATGCCATCGCTCATTTACAGTGGATTTACCGAGGGTGCTAACAGTCTGACCTCAGCCACATACAGTGTACGTAGTTTTCTTCATTGGGCCTAAAAAAATGTGGTTCCGGTTTCATATCGCGAAAAAATTAGGGTAGGTAGGTCGGAAATAAAAAAAAAATTTTCATGGTTTTGGCGGTTTTTTGCTGGGCGATTTTCAGTGGAGTCCCGACATCAATATTAACTAGAGATGTGTATTTCCTGCGGACGAATTTAGGCAATTTGGTTCAATAATTGTGACAACAGACGCCATTTTGGCACGCTGTACGAGCGGTGAAGGCTATTTCAGATACGGTAGAGCACCTAGTCCCCAGGCCTTTACCAGCGCGACCGCGAAATTCAATATGGCGCCAAGCTAAGGAGTGGAGTTTAAATGGAGTTTATATTCTATAATTTCTATTGTTGTTTTTGGATCTTTTTATTCTTTTTGGTTGGTAGAACTTATATTCTGAAATGCCAGGTATCTTACTCTTTATCAAACATAGTTAAGTATTATCTACTGAGTTGTTCATTTGACAATTAAATCAATTTAGACTATTTTACTCAAGTTGGCAAGCTACGATTAAATAATTACTTGGCTTGATGAAGATGATATTATTTAAGCAGGATAATACATGCCAATGTAGTCACAGTGAATTGACAGCATTCTAATAGGTTGATTATTAGCAGTTTTAAAAAGTTAAACTGCCAGACGTACGATATTTTATCATATAATTGATATAAATTATAAAAAGTAAAGTGATATAACTGAATGGTGGAACAATATTGCTTCCATTTTGACCACCACACTTACAATTACCTTATGAATGTGAGAATGCCATGTTCACATTGTGAAAAAATATTATGATTCTGGCAAACATACCAATTAACATGGGCAAATTTGTTTAAACAACATACAGTCATACACTGCAACAAATCATGATACAGACAAGCACATCCTGTATAAGAGGCTTGCTTAGATGTGTAACAAACATTATTCAACATCAAACAATTTAGTTATTGTCACATAAAAGAACACATAATAGAGTAAAACCTTATATGAATATCATATCTGTAAAGAATTCAGATATTCAAGTACTTCAGCAAGACATAAAAGAACACATAGTGGAGACAAACTTTATGATCAATCTCATGTTTGTCATTAACCAGGGATGAATCCAGCAGTTAATTAGATACTGGGAAGAAGTCAGAAGCAAAATAGTGTTAACGAAATTAATCTACCAGAGAAAACACCCAGCGGGCAAAATGACGTTTATCCAACGTTGAATCAACGTTGGAAATGACCTTCCAGACGTTGGATAGACGTTGAAAAAGGGTTGACTATGCAAATTGGATCGACGTTACTGTTTCGACGCATCCTCGTTCCCAGGGCTTCTCGGCTGCCTGCGTTGCCATAAGCCCTGGGACAAGCCAAACCGGAACACCACAAATTCTGGTGTTTTCCGGAAGTAAACGTGCTCTACTGCAGCTAAAAATGCTGACTGTGCATTAATTTTTACTGAGGAATGGAGATGTGTTGGTGAGAAGAAAATATTGGATTTTCCTTTTGTTTTGATGTATTTTTCACCATCAAGGGAATATGTGTAGTCCACCTAATGGAATTATACATATTGAGGTTTTATATTTCGTTGTATCGTTAATATTCGTCAAAATACAACCACATCTCGGTCTCGTATTACATGTATCAATTTTCACGTATGATGTAAACATGATCGAGTCGCTCGAAATGTGCTCGAAGAGGTTGCTGTGCTTCGAAACATCATGGGTTCTTGTACAGATGACCTGTTTCAACACGCGCTTGTAAAATCACTTCACAGACTGGACAAAGCCGGACTGGAAATTAAAGAGAAGCAATACGAAGCTTTGTCGTCTATCGTATGTTGTATATAAAAGGAACAAGAACGACATGTGACATGTCTAAACGGCGGTGTGTGTCTGTTTACTGGGCTACAACAACGGCAATAACAATGAATCACCTAACATTTCGAGAAAATATGAATTATGGATAGATGTCATGCATGACTCCATCAGTTTTGGGTTTGAATTGCTAGATTTAAATTTATATTATGTATACAAAATCATGCGTGTGTATAAAATTCGAGCAAAAAAGCACAAGGTTAAGGTGTTTGTTTGGCCATCTGCCCATCATGTAGTATGAATATTGAACACCGTTTTATATAGTACGTTTAAAACGTTATTTCCATGCCAGATAATCCTGAATCCTTCACCGATTACATGTGTGGCAAATGACGAAAAATAATTATGTAAAATAATTAAACTAATATGTATTTGGCCATGAATGCAACTCACTATTCTGCTTACATCTGACAATCAAAACTATATGCATGACTGTATGGCCCAATGTATGTTTGAGGGAAATTTTTGTTTTCAGATTACAGTATAACAACAATATTTCCTGCATTCCAATATATTTTCTACATGCAAGTGCGCCTTCTGTTTCAGATAGGGGCCAAATCATTTGAGGGTGAATGGGATAGCCATGGTTGGAGGGTAATGTTAGCAAATTTAACTCCCTTGCATAATGTCAAGTTATCACTGGTCAATTTTTAAATTTCTTACAATTTCACATCAGGCAGTTCATTGACCCCCCCCCTATCCAGAAGTGTGACTAAGCATTTTCTAGTATCTATCTAGGTGTCCAATCTAAATGTCCACCACAACAGGATGTATACCTGAGTGATAGTAAGGGAGGTGGGGTTAAAATTCTGATTTATCAATATATTGCTATACATATGCACATTAAAAATATGAGTTTTCCAGTTCAATATATCTATAATAGGAGGCTTAAACCAGAATTTCAGAATACAAAAGCAACTTTTATGTCATTTTTGTAATGGTTTGTTTAAAATCCATTTTTATACAGACGTGGTAGGGTGTCGCCTGGCTAGAAGCCTGCATATACATATACAAATTTTTAGTTTTGTCAATAATAATAATTTATTTATAATTCAATTCTTACAAGGTTTGCAATAAGACAACAGAATAAGTATTCTCCTCTGAACTGTTAACAGGAAATTCATGATCTCATCCAATATGACATAAGAATTTGAGACCCCCACCTCGGGCATACAGGGGCATTCACTTAAGTTGGTGTGTGAAATTCAGTGGAGTCCCCTGCAGCCAGGACAAAATGGCAAGGTAAATTTCTCCTGTCCTATCATCACTAGGTATTCAACTGGAATTTTCACTTGAAATTTCCCAAACCATTCCTTTACTGTCCTGTAAAAGCTTTTCCTAGCTTACTGCTTTATTTCAGCATTTATATACAGCAGATAAAAGACTAAGTGACCCCCCCACATGACCTCACTCATTCCCCAATTTGGACACTGAAAGTAAGTGTCTTCCCTGTTTGCCAAGAAATGATAAACCAGTTGAATAGGAGGCAATTGTCCTTGCATTCCCCTCTGGTATGCCAAAGGTGCAGGGATTCAAATGACTGGTGCAATTGAATATGCTTATAAGCTTATTCACTGTATTTAAATAATTAAAAGCTATTAAAATTACTCACTAATAATACAACTGAAAAATTCAGAAATAGTAAAATACACCTATAATATTCTATCTGCTATATTTATAAATTCCAATTGGCCATTTTAATATAGGGCCATTTATAGGTGGCCAGGTGGGTAATAGGGTCATAGACCAAGTGACCAATACCAAAAGCATAATAAAACACAATATATTACACCATTAAAACTTTACTATCGTAAATATATATTATTAAACATTTTATATTTACAGTGTGCTTATAATTTTACAATTATACTTGAGCACAATGTTTTAATAATAGACAACTTTATAACAAGAAAATGTTAAAATGAAGAAACTTTTTAATGGCTTCATAATTGACGTTCCTTCGATATTGTTGCTTACTTCTACTTTATAATTGTCCATTTTGTTATTTTCTTTCGCTCGGTTTGCAAATTATCTCCATTAATCCATAGAAAACAAGCATTATACGTTTATATTTCTTCGTATTTCGAACGCGCACTCCTTGAAGGCAGCCATATTGCCGAATATAAACATCCACTTGACGAATAAACTTTTCATATTTCACTCTATTTCCAACGACCAATCAAATCACTTCTGCTTCGGCTTGTCCCAGGGCTTACGGCAACGCAGGCAGCCGAGAAGCCCTGGGAACGAGGATGGTTTCGACGTTGAAACAACGTTGAAATTACGTTGCTAATCTCGTCAACCATAATTCAACGTTGAATCCACGTTAAAACAACGTTGAGATTGGTTCACAAATCGACGTCGTACATTTAACCA